GCTGCTACTGAAGCACCATTTCTTCTAAGTCACTTGGCTAAAAACAAAAGTGTTTTATAGATGGTGATTTATTCAAGAGAGCAATGGCTATAACTGCAGAGGCCTTTCAAAAGCAAATATGACATAAAAACCACAATCCATGGTGTACCGCTCGGTCCTGCATCAGACACAAGAAGGGTCGAATCACTGTCAGAGGACGTGGATCGACATGTGACTCTGTGAATATTTGTTCGACGAACCACTGGATGTAATGGACACAGCTCAGCTTGTTGTTTTTGTCAGAATGGCTTTCCAGGATTTTACAACAAAGGAGGACTTCCTCACTCTTTTGCACTTAAAGGAGCGAATGTGAGGTGGGGATATTTACAATGAGTTTAAAAAATATGTCAGTGAAAATGATATTCCCATTCATAAACTGATAGCAATTACTATAGATGGAGCACCAGCATTGCATGGTGAGTGCCGACAATGCTGTAATGACCCTGATTTTCCTGACTTCATGAATTATCATTGTGTGATTCATCAGCAGGCCTTGGCTGGGAAAGTCGTGGACTTTCCTCACATAATCTGATAAACTTGATACAAGCAAAAACACTTTAGCATCGCTTATTCAAGGTAATACTGGATGAGCTTGATACCGCGTATGAAGATCTACTACTTCGTGCTGATGGTTGAGTTGTGGGAAAGTGCTACAATGCTTTATTGACTTGTTGAGATAAACTGTTCTGTCTGCAAGGAACAAGGAGCAGAAGGAACTGCCAGATGATGTGTGGCTGCTGGACCTGGGTTTTCTGTCAGACTTGACCACAAACTGATTACACTCAACAATGAGCTCCAGGGAAAAGACTGACACCTGCCCCACATGATAAGCACAGTGAATGCATTTAAGTCTAAGCTTGGTTTTTTGATCACACGTATAAAGGACGGGAGGCTAAAACTTTCCCATCCTGGAAAAAATGTCACAGAGCATTGAAAACAAAGGTGTTTTTCACTCTGAGAATGACTCTGCTCACCTGGACAAAGTGGCAATAGAGTTCAATCTGTGTTTTGGGGAGTTCGACGTCATGGAATGTATTGCTGCATTTGTCTCAAACCCATTAATGGCCAGGTCGTGGCCAAATTCCAGCAAGTATTTGCTTTGTCAAGTGGAGTTGACATGGGGATACAGTAGTTAATTTGAACACAGAGCTGAAGGGACTTTTGGGGACCTGTCAACAGAGACAATTTAACTTTCCTCACTGCATGAGCACTGGAAGTGAGTGTCTACCTTTGATCCATTTACCTTCAGCAAAATAGCATTTTCACAGATGAAAATAATTAAATAAAATTAGAGGAGCCGCCTTACTGACAGACACGTCGCAGACTGCCTCAGACTCTAGCTATGAGCCAAACTACACAGACAGTATTCAGTCATAGCCATCAGACTGACTTGAGTGAGTAACATCACTGCAGCAGTTTTGTCTTCTGATGGCATTGTGAAAAGTGATGCTGCATAGAACTGCACTTAGCTTAATTGAGAATGTTGTTAGGATTTTGTTATTACAATGCATTTATAAAATGCTGATGGCAGTACCTTCAGAAGCTTCAGTGAACAAGCATTTTACTATTAACAATAGCACTTTTACCCGTTGACAATGGCACTTTGTATGATCTGCTCACTGCAAGTGTTACAGTGTTGTTACATTGTTTCAATAGGTAGATCTTGCCTTTCATCAAGGCTGAGGTCACTGTGGGGGCCACTGATACATAACACAGGCTGTTTCATTGTAAATTAGGTGTTAGTTTGATTTTTGCTTGCTTGTAATTTTGCATAAATGTTTTATCTAGAACAGCTTGCATTACAATAATTTTATGTACAGTCCTCCCTGGAGACAAATGGTGCAAAGTGGCTTTCTCAAGGGCATGGTCATGACAAGTATCTCAGTATCCTATATGTCACTTCTACCTGGGATCAAATCGTAACATTTATTTTGGCAGACTGTAACCTTAACCCTTTTTAGTTTTATTTCATACATCATTTGAATTTATGAACAAATTGCCCACCGCCTGCATCACTAATGGTTTCCCACCTCATATTTTAATCAGTGTAATGCCCAGTCAAAACTCTCCAACTGCATTGCACTATGGGATACCTGACGTGTTCATGTTCCCTAATCCATGTCTGCAGGTTCGAGCAGGAAGATTAACGCAGCGGCCCCGTTGTGCAGCACACACCCCGTGCCGTTGTCTTGGCAGCTGCGTTATCTTGGATGCTGTTTACCCTGAGGGAGCGATGAAGAGGATTATTTAGCTTTTTTCTCACTCCCAAATCCTCTCAACAAAGGGATTTCTTCTGTAATACATCCACCAAGCAGCAGAGGGAGAAGGCTCCTACTGAGTTCCTTTAGCAACACTGCTTTGTGTGCATCAGTCGTGATAGGCCACATAATAATACAGCTAAGATAAACAAATCCATGTGGGGATGTTTGTCAAGTGACAAGCATTAGCAAAAGAAGCCTGAATTATTTAATCCTTGTCGCATTTATAACATCATAGCATCGAAAAACATTTCGGTTGCAAATGTTTTGTTTGTATCTCTCACTATTAAAGGCACAATATGTAATTTTTTTTAATTAAAATATCAAAAAACCACTAGAACAGTGTTATGTATTTTGCTGACTTGTGTACATACATTATCCCAAATGTTTCGAAGAATGTTTAAATCCAGAGAAATAAGCAATTGTAACTAGTGACACGGACCGTGTCCATAGTGTCATTGTGTCGCCTGCCCCGGAAGGAGCGGAAGCGGTCGGCTGTGGCATAATAAAAGCTCTGCTGCTTCCGAGCCGTGTGTCGAGCTTGTTCAGCGGACTTGTTTCGCTTCCACGGCTTTCAGCCTCACCCTACTTCATTCTACTACATTAACAAATCATTAGCTCATCCATGAACATGATTTCTGCCCGAGTCCCGTCGGATTGCTTCGGCTGTGGGGATGAAGACGACAACTCCCATGATTCCACACTCAGTCACAGCGTCATCAAACTACGCCTTTGTTTCTTTGTTTATTTTGAATACGCGCCCTCTAGCGGCGAAAATTACATATTGTGCCTTTAAAGTTCAGTCTCTGATTCTGTCCTTTAGGCAGTCATAGAAAATGTTGTCTGGGGTATGTGCCAATAAATAGGCCTTGACATTCATGATGAAAAGTATATTTAATGAAGAGATTTTAAAAAGCAATTACATGTGGCAGCCTACTGAGCTTCGAGTCAGTTAATTGGGGGAGCTTGAGCCTGATCTATATTTTTATAACCAATAAATAGTCAAAGCAATAGATAACTGAAAATGTCAAGATAAAAATACTAGAAAGCATAACGTTTCTACCCTGTAATCATGGGAATTATGAACTCCCCTCTGTAGTCTTGTGAAAGAGGATGCGATGAAGGAAAATGCAGTGTTTCTGATTCCAAAATGAAGTACTTTTAAGCACCCAGGTCCCTAAGGAAATTACAAAATATTCAGATATCTAAATACTGTCAGCAGTTTTGAGGCACCTACAAATAGTTTAAATGGCTTTTTTGGGTATGTCCATATCCAAAATCTATAGAAGAAGAAAAAGAAAATGAAACCTGACAAACAGAGATGTAATGTAATGTAATGTAATGTTATAATATAATATAATATAATATAATATAATATATAATATTTTAAAAATACAGTGAATAATTTTGATCAATTAACTAAATTAAATCAATTTCCTCAGAAACAGTTTTAAAGGTAGTTTGCAGGTAAGTTGTTCCAAGCATCTTGTTAAAGTTGCAATTTTATGAAGTAATTAAAATTATAGTTAAGTTAGTTGCAAATAAGTTTGCTTTTTTGAGCAGCAAAGGTGCTTTTTGCACATTATATAATAGACTATAGATTCAATATATATGAAAGAAGAGAACATACAAAAGATTAAGAAATAAAAAAAATATTATATTTGGTTATTTAGAACATAAAAATCTTTGCAGATCTGATGATGTTGTTTTGGATAGTCTGCATTATATATAGTCTGTACAGATTTCTATTGTAGACTATAATACGTTCAGTAAATGAATCAAATTAGAAAAACATGGTTTGAATTTATCATAGCTTCTTTTGTGTATATGATGTTCCATCTAATCATAAGATTCTAAATAAAATTCACAGAGCATCATCAGCTTCAAAATCTCTGGAGCTGGTATCAACAACATGAGCAGATTTCAGCGGAAAAGACTCAATGGAATAAACCGTGCCGAGGGGAGAGATGATGTAAGTGTTTATGTAATCTGCATCTGCGAGATGCACATCACAGCGCCCCCTGGAGGCCACCACTGCCTCTCAAAGAAGTCACATCATGGACCGGATGGATAGAGTGTGACCAGAACTAGAGATCCATAATTCAGCCACTGCTCCAACGTATCTCCTTAAGTTTGATAAAGCATTTTTGTCTCTGTATAATTCTTTAGATAATATTATTAATCTTTTTCAGATTTTCTGATACTAGTCACTTAACAATGACAGCCTAAACTACACCTCCACGTTGAAATGAACTCAACCACAGCCAGCAGCTCTGCAGGACGATCAGATGTATACCGATGTCAAATTGGATGCCAATATATAATGTTATGGACGTATGTGGTCCTCTGTGTTTTAAATATCTGAAAGATTTCAATTTCAGTTGTTGGCATGACAAATTACTGTACATTTGAATATCAAAAGCGCCCGTAGCTTAGTTTAGTGCAATATAGGTAATACTGAGTTTATGAAAAAAATCTGCAAATAATTAAATCACTATTTCATTGTTTGTGGTTTCTCAAGCACATGGTCCAATCGCTGCAGCTGGAAGGCGGGGTTTACAGTAGGGCCGTGGCACATGGTCCAATCAGGAAGAGAGAGGGGTGTGGCTGTCTTTCGCTCAGTCTTTCAGCACCTTGGACAGCAGCTCGCACTCGACTGCTGGAGAGATTCTGGTTGCGGGTCGAGGGTGCTCGCCTCCTCTTCTCCGAAATTACTCAGAAGAAAGAAACAGAGAAGGGGATTTCACAGAAAATCTTTCAGGTCGTGAAATTTCATGTCCTTTCGAGGCAGTTTCTGATCTATTTCCGACGTTGGCACTTTGCTATACGCTGCTTCTCTGCGGCGTGTCTCTTCTGCGTCTGGGATCCCAAACAACAAGCGTTCAACGTGAGTTTTGCCGTGTACAGCGATTGAATCTCGATAAAATACGACAAGTAACATTCATTTTACCAAAGTCAGTTTGCACTTTATTATGTTTCTGACATGCCTCCTGAGAATGGTTACTTGCTGGATGCGATACCGTCCTGCGTAAGTGCAATGAAGTTTCTTGGTTCTTCTCCAGCCTGGTTCAGGCTTTAATGCGCACTGAACCTCAACTCGCCTTTCTCCCCATATCCATCATCTTGTTTTTGTGATCATCAGCCTTATTTTGGAAGATGAGGTTCTTCTGCGACTTTTTGTGCACATAAAATTCTGAAAGGAAGAAGAAACGAGGAGTCTGAATTCGTGCTGTGAAGCCGCATCACCTCCTATGCCGTTTTAACCGTCTCGACGGCACGTTTTGAGATTGTTCAAGAGAAACGTTGAAGTATACACACAAGGATAAAGATGAAGAAGTTCCGGAAGGTTTTGGACGGGTTGACCACTTCTTCACCTGTCAATCCATGTGGATCTCCCGCGTGCGGCAGTGCGGCTGGGACCCCTAGTACGGCTCCGACACCGCGGGAGCTGGAAATCCAGGAGACACTGATGTCTGAGCACTTCCAAATCTGTAAGGTGGGTGCCTCTTTCTAGCTTGTCGCAAAGGGCTTGTCTGCCATTGCAGCAGAGATGTGCAGCTAGTTTTGGCCAAGAGGCCTGTGCTAATCAGTGCAGCTGTTGGGGGAACTGTTGTTGATAGAGCCACAATAGAAATTGCAGTGCACCAGCAGCAGACACAATACACACAGACACATACTGTAGTGCAAAGACATTGTGAACCACAAATATGGTCCCCTTCAAATCGTTGAGATAGTTAACCAGAGAATTGTAAATTCTGTCACATTCACCCTCATGTCATTCCAAACATAGGAGCTACTTTCTTTCTTCTGCAGAACATAAAAGAAGATATTTGACCATTGATTTCCATTGTATGGACGAAAACACTGAGACGTTGGTGACAGCAACTATCCTTTAAAGTTCCCAGAAGTTAACAGTTGTTAGATAGATAGATAGATAGATAGATAGATAGATAGATAGAGCAAACCATCAGTGGTGAGATACTGGATGCTCTCAGTCCCCCAAAAAAGAGCCAGAACATTTGGACTGCATTTACATTTTTACCGCAGTTTTGACTCTCTCTTTTAGGGGCTCAACCACAGACAAGTTTCTCAGTCCAGTGTTTAAGTGTCAGTATGACCATATTGAAGTGTTAAATGGACAATTCACACAAAAATGAAAATCCTTCTGTTTCTCAGTCCCATTCCCTAAGCCTTTCATATTAGCATCACCATAATGAAATGTTAAATTGATAGTTCACATAGTTCACAAAATAAAAATTCTGTCATTATGTACTGACCCTCATGTTGATTCAAACCTGTATGTTTTTCCTTCAGTAGAACACAAAAAGGAGTTGTTAGAGACTGACAGCTTCCATACACTTTCACAGTCTATCTATCGTTATATCATTCTAACTTTCTATCTAGTTCTACAGTATTTACTCAATGCATTGGGAGTGAGATGCTCAGGATTAGGCATTCTTGGGACACAATCCTTTCCTCAGTGGAGAAGTCAAGTGATAGGGAATCGATGACATAACTGAGGTGTTTAGCTTATATAAAAAGTGAGAGTCAGCCGTAGTCTCCGGGCTTGTGTGCTTTCTCCTGAAGCTATTTTTTAGAGATTTTTAGGGCCTATTGCAGCCGGTCGGGGTAGTGGAAGATGACTGCAGCGCTTCTACCTCCACTTGAATCGGTTCGGTTCGAGCTTGAAATTAGAGCGATCGAGGACGGACGTGTGTTGTTCTCCAACATAGCAAATTAGACAGTGGGAAAGCGGTAAGAAAGAACGAACAAGAGCCGTGTCGTTTGAATGGAAGTGCAGGAATGTATGACGTGCAGATTATGAAGTTGTTTGTGAATATTCCCAGAATGCCACATTCATTCACTGGCGACCGGCACACGCCTCGTTCTCACCATAGTGATGGGACCGCGGTGTTGTTGTGCACTCCCCCGGGGAATGTACGGTGAGAGACTCGCGCTGATATACACCCAACAGCCTGACGTTTGGGTTATATTAGAATTCATCGCCAGTTAAACAAATGAGGTAAAACATCACATATTGTCAGGAGGATGTATTTATATCTGAGGTAGTACAAGTGTCTGCTATACAGTGCTGTTTTTAATTTAAAGGAATAGTTCACCCAAAAAATTAGCTCACCCTAAATTGGTCAAAAATGTAGGCTAGATTAGTTTGTTTCCTCATCTGAACAGATTTGGAGAAATTTTGCATTACATCACCAATAGATCCTCTGCAGTGAATGGGGGCTGTCAGAATGCTGTTCAAACAATAATAAAAACATCACAATAATCCACACAACTCCAGTCCATGAATTAACAACAATTCAAATCTGTGAGTTTTTATAAAACGAATCTTTCATTAAGAAGTTTTTCACTTCAAACCATTGCTTCTGGCTAAAATGTGATTATATCGTCTAAATCAGGAGAGAAATATGCACAGTTGAAGCACCATTTATAAGCAAAGACTTTTCTAAACAAATATGTTAATACATTTTCATGTGAGAGGACAACAGGGGATTGACTTTTTCACTGGAGGAAGCATTATTATGGATCATGGACTCATATTTTGGCTAGCAACAGTTTAAAGTTAAAATGCTTTAATGACGGATTTTTGTTTCTTACAAACACCGATTTTCACTTCACAAGACGTTAGTTGATGGACTGGATCATGTGGATTAGTACTTGTGGATTATTGATGTTTTTATCAGCTTTTTGGACCGCATTCTGATTGCACCCACTCACTCACTCCATTGAGCAAGTGACAAATGCAAAATGTCTCTAAATCTGTTCCAATGAAGAAACAAACTCGTTCGCACTACATTTTTAGCACATTTTCATTATTGGTGGAACTATTCCTGTAAGAATTTGATATTTTTCAATTAAATATAGTTAGTCAAAGCTCAGTGGCAGCTTGATAGTTAGGCTACACTGTATAAACAATTCTGTAGTTTTTACAAAATAATTTTGGCGGCTGTGGTTGCCAGAATAATTTTGTAAAAAATACAGAAAAATCAAAGTTCATCACAAGTAGCTTTTCCATAAACTTAAGTATATACAAATATACAGAAGGTGCACGGAGTCATTCAAGCAAACACAAAACACCATCATGGTAACACACAACACTTAAATAATGCAATAAACATTCATTGAACAACAGAAGATGTAACAAAACCATATAACTGATAACAAAACTAATAAAGAACGTGATCATTTAAACAAAATACTTTCAAATGTGGAGTGTAATGAAGGGAATTCTGGGAATATCAGTTTACAGTTTTTGACTATAAATGACGTTGATTTGTTACTTCAAAAAACTGAACAATTAAAAGTATTTTACTGTAAAATTACATGAAATGTCTGGTTAGATCTTTTACAGTTTTATCATGTATATACAGGAACTTACTGTTAACTTATTAACAGTTTTTTTCTGTAGTGTTTTTGCAATATTTTATAGTTACACTCATGTTTTTACAGTGAAAACAATGTTGTGATTTTGAGTGTTTTGCTGCTGTATGAATGTTGCGAGGTAGGTCAGATATTCAGAACATCGAGACAAACAGTTTGAAGCATAAAAATGAAATGAGGCTCCAAATGTGATTCCTCATGAAACAATTCCTTTAAATTTCCATTATTTCCCTTTAAAAAACATAAATTTTATGAGGAACTGAATTCAGACTTGTTTGCTCACTAAGGTGGGTTAACACATGCTAGATTGAAAGGCTCATGAATATGAGATTGTAATGCTATATTTATACTTGTCTGAAGAGGGATTGTCTGAGAACCACACTAAGAATCGAACAATGTCTGAAATGTCTCTTTTCATACAGTACACACACTGAACAAAAGTAAAATTAAAATTTTCATTATATGACCCCTTCAATGAAAATTAAACCTGATATATACAAGCAAACCATAAGCAATGGTGAATTGTATGAGTTATTCTAGAGATAGTATAAGAATAAAGAATCCACCTCATGGTCTGTCGAGGGATGCGTTCTTTGGGATGTTGACAGAAACGGTGCTCTGGAGACGCACATCTGAAATAGACTGACGAACACCCTCTCATGTGCTCAAGAACACTCTGTGACACCCATTTCTGGTTATGATCACTCAACTGAATCATGAGCTTTGACAACAGCTCCCGTCGTGGGCTGCCATGTTTCATGTGTGGTAGATTTAGATCTCTCTCTCCCTCTCACTTCTGTATATTCCTGGATGGATCTGGCATGCACACAGAAATAATAGGGTCAAAGGCATAGAGCAAAAATAGAAAAAAAAACATTTAAAGGTGTATGTAACATCATAATGGAAGATATAAACAGCAGGGTGCTTGTTTTTAAAGCCGATCAGGAAGTCTTTGCCCTTGCAAATGACAAAAAACAAGGTAGATAGTGTGGTATGGTTCTGTTAGTGCTCTGTCAACAATGTTGGCTTCCTCTCCAGTGCTCTGGGACCGCAGTGGCGGCACAGCCTGTGCTCTAGAGCAGCCCGCTCTGTCTGCATGTATCCTCATCTCTCAACAGGAAAGCTGTGCTCACTCGACCAAAGGGAAACAAGTATGAATTGTATTGCACAGTGTCTATTGCTGATAGATTTTTCATCATCAACACTGTTTGTAGATTCAACAGAGTAGTAGGGCCAGATAGAAATGATGAGACTGATAGTAGCAAAGAGCTAAAAATAAGGTATAGCCATTATGAGTGAGCTTAGGTCTCTTTTTTTCCCTCAGTAAAAAAAACCAGCGATGCCATAGAATAACCATTTTTGGTTCCACAAAGAACCATTCAGTCAAAGGTTCTTTAAAGAACCATCTCTTTCTTACCTTTTTATAATCTGAAGAACCTTCTTTTGCCACAAATAACCTTTTGTGAAACAGAAAGGTTCTTCAGATGTTAAAGGTTCTTTATGGAACCATTTAGACAAAAAGGTTCTTCTATGGCATCGTGAAGCACCTTTATTTTTAAGAGTGTAGTAGGACATAGTTAATGTGACATCTGTGTTTCAGCCATAATTTTATGAACAATTATATTTAATTCATATTACGAGAATACTTTTTGTGTGCAAAGAAAACAAAAATAATGGCTTAATTTAACAATTTCTTCTCTCCCGTGTCAGTCTTTGACGCGCATTCACAAGCGTACCACGGCGCATACGTGTTCTTAAATTGTAATAATGTTTCACTATATCACCGTTTGTACGCTTGATCAAATAAAAGCAGCCTTGGTAAAAATTAGATCAGACCTTGTATCTTGAAGATCCTCACAGTAGATTTTCCCATCAGAGGGTCTGAGCATCCAGAATGGTCTTCTCGCTCTCTATATTTCAGAGGAATCACATCTAAAGATGTGTGTAGTAGTGACATGTCGCTAGTGACTCATATAGAGTTTCCTGTCAGTGCTGTTTGAACCATTTTTTCTCTCTCGCTCTCCTTCACTTTTTCGATTTATCTCCTTATTTTTACATCTGCTCAATTGATTGATTTCATATGGTGTCATTTGT